AATGGGTTTTTTTGGTTCGAAAACCACGTAAAAACATTATTTACCTTTTTTAAAACATTTTTCAAATTGGAAGTGCATATCTAAACCGAACGGTTCGGGAATTAGCTATTGGGTCACATTAAGGCTGGACACCCTGTATAGTTATTAAACGTGATTATAAGAAATTAACTGCGCAAACTTTATAACTATCAACAAACATCAATCTAAATATTTACGTGATATCCACAGAGGGAGAAGTAATTGTATAATTTAGCTTTATAAGTTTTTAAAAAAATATAAATAAACAGTGAAGTTTGAAATAGCTGAATAGAACAAGACAGAATATAATGACGAGAAATGTATAATGCGCAGTAAAAAGTGAGTTTTACAAACAGCACTTCAGGTATCTGCCTACGTTCGGAGACGTTTTTTAAAATGCCTTTCTACTAGTAACTTTATGTTATTTTGTTCGTACTTATGACTTAAACCAAGAAAAAACATATGACAATTTAAATTTATTAAAATGAGGTATTTTAGGTAAAATTTGATGAAAGTTATACCGAATATCAAATCATTCTACATGGAACTTAAAGCCATATATTTGAATTATTTTTTTACACAACATACTTAACACAGTTATAAAGGCAATAATTTTTTTAAAATATAAAATGTATTAAAATTTACCAAAAATTTATGGCTTATTGTACATTTTCTTGTAAAATTTTTTACAAAATGCATGGTGTTAAAAATTAAAAAAAAACTATTAATGTTAGAGCTAAATCCTTAGTTCATTGTTTTTATCATACTTTAAATAACATGTATACAAAATATGAAAGAAATGCATTCATAAGTTTTTGAGGTATCAGGTTTAAGGGAACATAACTTTGACAAAAAAAAATACAATCTTGATGAAAGTTTTGATTCTTATTTTCCGAAAATAATGGTTAATATCAGATGTTTAAAATATACCATGTAACAGCGAAGACTTTCATTTTTCTTTATCTTATGAATATTTTCGTTCTGGAGGCTCGATTTTTCTTCGTACACAAAATGGCAAGGATAAAAAATGTAGGGAGATACCTTAAACTAATAAAAGTTTACTCGCAAACAAATCATGCCAGGGATAAGGCTGAGAAATTTTTTATGCTCAGTTTATAACAATACTAACAAAACTAAAACATACGTACACACACACAAAATTCAAATATGCTGACACAAAATCAGATAAATTCTCACTCAAAAGTTATCATTAAAAGAGTTCAAACGAATATGTATCAACAGAAACCAGTTGAATCAAGATATTCATTAAGTTGTGAGAAGACAGAAGCCCACTTACTTTCATCCGCGAGCTCGACCTTAAGGAACAAGGGGTCACCTAACTCCACTCCGGTCACATCTTGGTCAGTGGCATTCACCACACGCAGGCGGATGGGAGGGGTCGGAGCCACGGCGGTCACCGTGTGAGCCAGAGGTTTCATCTCTCTGAAATACAGAAGGAAGGTCACATATCTGAATAACATATACTAGTGGTTTTTTTTTCATATCACTTATAAATTAATTTTTTTTTTATTTTCTTTGAAAACATGTATATGAAAACAGCTAAAAAAATACAGCATCGTCGACCGTCAAGTTGTAACAGAGAAATTACGTATTGGTTTACTGGAATAAAATAAATTATAGCTTAAAAAAGCTAAATAACACTCTTTTATAGTTAATCAAAAGTAAAAAATAATTTTAATATAAGAATAAATTGATTTACCAGAAAATTAATGCCATTGTGGTAAAAGCGTGGGTTGCTTAGTATTACATTTTTACACTAACTCTGCATTTCGGAATAGAACTAATAAGACATTATAACAGTTGATATCGAGCACCCTACGCTTTTACCACATTGACATTAATTTTTCTCGTTAATCATTTTATTCTTATATTAAGAATTATTTACTTTTCAGTTCGATTAACTATAAAAGCGTGATTTTTAGTTTTTTAAAACTATAATGTATTATCTTCATTTCTCAGTTTGATCTACTATAAACGCGTTTTTTTTAGTTTTTTAGACTATCGTTTATTTTGTTTGTTGTATTTGTATTAATCATGAGTGTTTTCGCTTTAGGGTTGTAACTGTCGTTAAATCTGGAAATGGGAAATCGTTAATACTGATGATTCTGATCAGGACAATGGAACAAAGATATTAAATTATTGTATTGTCATCGGTCCTTGACAAGTGTGGAAAATTTCGAATTAATTTGACGTTTTAAAGTGGGTAAAAATCGAGTTAAAAAATTCCGTTACATACAAGTGAAGCTAATAAAAGCGCGTTAAAAACGAATATATATCAGCATTTTCAAAACATTTAGCCAGTTTTAGGAAGTATTACACAGAAATATGATGTAAAAACAATCTACGGTTTATAGTTTTTAATAAGCAATTTAATTCCAAAGTAAGGAAGACAATTTTTAGTTCATCCAACTGATATTTCTAAGAGAAGAAAAATACTGAACACAAACTAACGAATTCTTCGAAAATAAAATATTTAAAGTAAGAGTACAAAAACTGTCAATTATTTTTAATGTTAAAAATGTTCTAATTTTTTCCATTATTAAGAAGGGAGTTTCGAAAAACAATTGCTGAGCCCAAACCCTTTATTTCATTTCTAAGTAAAAGTAAATTCGAGTATTAAAAAATTCTTTTTATGCACTCAAATTAAGTATAGAACAGTAAGTGTTTGACTATGTCATGAATTCAAAGATTATAAAATTTTATTTTTATATGAAATATTAATTTTAAAAATAAATATCGTTACCTTGTTTTAAGGAGATTATATTGAAGTAACACTAAAATTTGACCAATTATATACAATTATATATTTGTTTGTCGTAATGTGTTTGTGGCCGTTTATAAAAACGCCAAAAAATTATTTTTTGTCTAATTTTATTTAAAGAAATTGCAGGACAGAAATCAAGCAAAGATAACTCTAATTTTGAATGTTCCTTAAAAAGTGAAATATTTACTTTAAAGTAAAATCAAACAAATGAATTGTTTTCACGAGTTCCGCCGTTGAGGGAAAAAGCACACATACAACTCAAATTCTAATAAAAATATTTCATCCGAAATGAGACAAATAAAAATCTCTCCTCCCTTTAGAAACCTTAAATAGTTTGCAAAGAATAAGCTACAATACATGGTTGTGAAATATGTATTTTTGTACGAAAAAAGGATTAAAGGTAAAGAAAAAAAAAGCAAAATAAATTACACTTAAACTAAACGAAATATTTTTTTAAAAAAATGCTCTCTGTTGTGAATAACAAGTAAATAAGAATTCCAACTCTTCACATAGTTACTAAAAACAGGATTTTTTTAAATAACAGTACTGTTCGCGCATCCTCAGTAAAGGCAAAGGTCATTTTCAAAGGAAACATAACAAAAAAATATATACAAAAAAATTTAACCTCATTGGGCCACTGAGTTTACTGCAGGAAGTTTAAACCGCAAAAGCAAACACCTCGAGGGGAAAAAAACTACAGTGAAATGCGTCAAAGCAAACCAATGCTCAAATTAGTAACCCAAAAGGGCTTTGAACTTGCCCTTTCTTTACCGGCCCGGGACCTACCTACTTCACAAACACAACCACGCCATTCCCTCATTTCCAGTCCAGTCCAGTCCAGAGTTTTCTCTGACTTTATACTTGTACATATCTGATATATCATCCTTACCCCCAAAGCTCTTTTTTTTTAGCTTCAAGGGACGAATGAGTGTGTGCGGAGGCCCATAAAATAAAAAAGATCTACAGCAACAATAAAAAAACGGTAGTCGGATTGGTGTTTTCGAATAATTTGAAATTCCAAGGCAGACACGTGGAATGAATATCCAAAACATTACGGTTGATATTTATTGACACAGAGCGCAGGGAAAAAACTGTAATTATTCGCAAGGCACACTATCAGTTTCTGTAATTCCACAGACCTCCTGGAGTGATGGGCGAAATAAAGCTATTTAATGTTCGAAATGAAGCTATTTAAAAAGCTGGCATACAGTCTGTGGACATTTAATAGAGTGGCTGGCAATTAAAAAGGAGAAGGAGAAAAAAAAATGTTGGAAAAAGTGACTCGTGGTAATAAGGTACGGCAGAGATAATTATACCAGTTGAGGGTTCTTTATTAGTTCCAGCGAACGTGCACGTAAATAGAAGTGAAGAGAAAAAAAACTTTTTCTTTTAAAATAATCAATGAGAGCTTTGTTGATTGGGTAGTGGTTGAAGACTAGTTTTGAATTGCCAGTTAGGATGTTGATGGAAAGAGTGCAGTAAAAGCTGGATGACTGCGCATGCTTTGAAAATGGTGGCAACCTTTTTAATTATATATCACATTAGATCTAATAACAAAAAAAAAATTTATTTGCAAACAAACTAAAGCAATACGTTTCAAAAGGAAAATATATATATATATATCAATTTTACGATTATGTTAAGCACGATAAGAATATTCACACCATTGAATGTCAAATTTAAAACAAAAACATATGTTTTTTTTTGTTTTGTTAAAATGTGTTTGATAAAACTTCATTCTATTTACAATTGTGATTTTAAATAACATGCAGTTTTTCTACTCCATTTGCAACTTATTTCTATACATTGTAGATTGAAAACGAAATGCAACAAAAGAAAACTTTTTTTGAAAAACCACATTAAAAATTTCGGGGTTTGTAACAGATAGAGAAAAAGCAGTTTTCATAAAATTGCATTACAAAATGTGTTCCTTTCGCTATACAGAACAACAGCGTACTTTTCAATCCCTACTATTAGTTCACTCTTAATCACAGATTTCAATCGTTAATAAAATACTTTCTATCCATCCATTCAAATTCCAGTACATTTTTTAAAACTTGTAGTGGATGACACACACACTTGATGTTAACACAGTTTTTTCAAATTTTAATTCAATAATTAAATTTAAAAATGAATAAATAGTAACAAATAAAAATAATAAAATAAAAATAATAGTTTAACATCATATATATAAAGGAAAGTCGTTCGTTGTGTTCCGTTCGTTGGACTTCTAATCCAAAGGTCGTGGGTTCGAATCCCACCTGAAATGTCCTAATTTCTGAGAATGTGATTTCTGTTTTACTATACTATTTTATTAGAATAATTAAATTTAATTCACTTATAAATAGTAGCGAACAACAACAAAAATAGTCCAATACCCTATATAGAAAATGGAAAATTGCAAGTAAAATCGCTTTCTATTTTGTCACTTAATATTGTGATTCTGTCACATGTACATACATATTTATATTAATTGTAACTATTTAATAAAAAGTAACAAAAATATAAAAATTTTCTTTGTTGATCTAAGTAGGAATTAGACTTAAATTTTTTTTTATATTACTTGTTTGATTAAAAAAACGTGTAGTTGATAATAGATGGTTATTCTAATCGAAGAAAAATCTTTATAAACTAAAGCACTTTCGAAAACATGCAACAATTTTTCAACAAAAATAATTTTTTTTTATTATTTCTGTTAATATTTTATTAGTTTCAATTTGAAAATTTTGACTTTCATATTTTTTAAAATTTGGAATAAAAAAATATCCGCAATTCTTCATGAAATCCCGCAGCGACTCTTTTTTTATTTAAAACACAAAACAAAACAGACGTAGCGTAGGTTTTGTTTTTTAATTATAACTTTTAATCCATCAAACCACATTTTCAAAACCAGTTCCTTGTTAAACTAAACTAAGGTTTCCTTATAATAATTCAGAACTAACTATGCAGTAAAAAAACTCAGAAATTTGTTTCCTCAGAATTTATGAGAGTATTTTCTTGTTTGGTATCTTGATGTTAATTGAGAGCCTGCGCAGTTGTTTAGTCATTTCTGTCTTTTTTCATTTATGAGTAAAACAAACGATAGCCGATAAGATAAAAAGAAGTCTTTAAGTTGTAGTTTGTAAATATCCTTAATAATTAATTTAAAGCTTAACTATAATAACTTATCTGATGGCATATAAGTGTACTATTCCATTAAGAATTTTATTTATTTATTAATTTTTTCTTTGATATTCAAAATTGTCTTAGTTAAAAGTTATTAATGATCAGTTTGGAACCAATATGACTAGTTTCTAATGAAAATATTTTTTCTGAATGCAGTAAATTTATCCTTACTCGAGAGAAAAATTATTTTAGAATGCAGTAATAATAATTTATATAAAGAAACAGTTCTTTATTTTAGTAAAAGATAAGTTTGTTTTGGATTTTTTTAAAAAATTGAAGTGCCATAGCTGTATAAGAAGAAAAATTATTTCAAAAAATTAAAATTAGGGATTAAGGTCATTCGATTTTATTCTGCTAAAACCCTTAAAATTACTTACCGGTTCAATTCAGCATTTTACAACAAATATTAGCAAAACTGCGCTATTTTTGAATTCCAACAAAAAGTTCACTCTCTCCCTATATATATATCGTTCAAATTTTCAGTCGTTGATAAAATACTTTCTATTCATCCATTCAAGTTCAAATACATTTTTTAAAACTTGTAGTGGATGACACTTGATGTTGATACAGTTTTTTCAAATATTAATTCATTAGTTAAATTTTTAAAAAAATGAATAAATAGTAACAAACAAAAATAATAGTCCAACAGCACATATAGAAAGGAAACTCGTTCGTCGTGTCCCTGTAGCGCAATGGACTTCTAATCGAAAGGTTGTGGGTTCGAATCCCATCTGGGAAGGCTTAATTCCTAAGGATGTGGTTTCTTTTTTACTATACTATTTTATTAGAATAATTAAATTTAGTTAATGAATAAATAGTAAAAAAAATAATTCAACACCCTATATAGTAAGGGAAATGGAAAATTGCAAGGTAAATCGCTTTCTATTTTGTTACTTAATATTGTGATTCTGTTATATGTATATACATATTTATATTAATTGTAACTATTTGATAAAAAGTAACCAAAATAAAAATTTTCTTTGGGGACTTAAGTAGGAATCGACTTAAAAAGAATTTTTTATATTACTTGATCCCTTTAAATTTGTGGTCATTGATGAAAGAAACTTATTTTTCTTTTGATGGATATACGATTTACAGAAATTATTGAGGAAATGGAAATTAAATTTTAAGAAAACTATCAAAAACAAGCAAGCAAAAATGATTTTAATACATAAATGCTTGCTTATCACATATTGAAATGACATACTAAAATGCTCTATAAAAATTTTATTTAAAATTAATTTTTTGATAATTTTAAATCTTAAATTTAATATTTTTATCCACAATTTTTCTTATTTTTGTAAAGGGTTAAAAAAGTACGGGTTTGATCCAAAAGTTTTGAAAAATTCCCATTATTTTCAGAGTTACTCTACTAAAATAATAAAACCTGGTGTTTTTTGTTACAATATCTCTATTCTGATAGAATAAAATGTGAATTAATCCACTTCTAAATTGTAATATTATATTTCCTGAATCTTTAATTCAATTGGCCCTATAGGTGAATTATAGTCATTATATGTTATGTTATTCCAATAATTTAGTCCATCTTTTTACACATTTCTGTTTTGTTTACTTCTTTAGACGCCATAGAAGACATATACACAGCACAAAGAACATTACATAATTGATGGTAAACAAAGTATCTCTAGTGACTTGAGGCGCCCTCTACTCCATAATTTACAGCATATATCTTTAAAAAAAACCCTGTATTGAGAATTCTTAGCTATATGCAGGCAAAATATTATAATACAAGCATTTTTCATAAAAGAAAAGAATGTTTTGAAAATATATGTCATTCTCCCCCCCCCCCCCCCCCCCACACTTCTTCCAAAAAAATACATTTGAATAATTTTTTTCTTGTAATATTCTGAAATCAATTTTATACGAATATTCTAATTAACTGACATTAAATAAAAAAAAATAATTTATGAGCTTTTTCAAAATTTAGGTTCGAAATATAATCAATCATCTTAAAGACACAAAAAGCTGAGTAACAACACCAAGAATTTATATGAAAATTGGCAACATTTTCTGTCTGAAAATGTAGACGAAGTTTCGTTCAGACTTTTTGGCATCAGTCAAGTGATGGTTCTTAAAATTTTTGAGTTTTGCCTCGTGCAACTGAAATGCTTGTCAATAAAGGTTGATGAACGCACCATTCACTTCTGAGAGGGGTTATGACTTCGTTACCCGACTGATAAACGTTGTCCAACTAACCGTCATGTCCTTCTGATGCTTGAACAATGACTGTCCTCTTCCAAACAGCATTTCATGGAATCCCCCATTAAAATCTTAGTACAAGAACAACAACCATAAGGATTCATCTGCCTTTGTAGTGGCGCTTATACAAACAGTTCTAACTTCGCATGTTTGACCAGACGCTTCGCATTGTTAGGGCAAAAATCCTTCACGCTAGACTGAAGGTTATGATACACAAATGGCTAAATCTTCTCCTCAAGTCCGGGATCTTCCCAAGGGTTTCTCACCCCCAGCGCCCTTCCCCAAGGTTAAACTGAAACAGAATATAAAGCAGTGGGACACTGGATTTTGACCTCGGCGACATTTTCTCTCCTTTTTTTTAACCACCTTTTCCATCTGTCCCATTGTTCGTTAGGTTTAGTTGTTTTTTCTTCTTCGGCCGCAACATATTGTTATTAGTATCTTGAATTCACATTCGAAGTTGATATAAACGGACAAGCGGAATTGCTATGTATACATGTATGCAGGGTGTGCAGTTGAGTGTGACGGTCAAGCTCTGCATATGAGAGAGCGAGATAAGTTTTTCTTAGAGGTCTTTTATTGATTGATTTTTATTGATTTTATTTTATGGCTATTTTTTCATCCCCTTCGGTTATTTTTTTTTTTTTTATTCCTGAATTATCTGGTTTTATTGCTCGCTTTGTTCGTATATTTCCTTTGGAACATGTTGAGAGACACCATCATCCGTTTTCCATTTTGTTTTATTTTGTGCAGATTTTCTGTTTATGTGATCGTCTAGTCCGAGGTAAATGAAATAAAGTCCAAATATTAAATAAACTTTCTGTGATGTTATTGGAACAATGGGACGAAGATTGAAAAGAAAAAAAATAGCTTATTTCTTATTTACATAGATATTTTTTGCAGACTGTGTGCGAGAAAAGCTATGCGAATAAATTTAAATATGTTTAAACTATTTTAGAATACAGTTTGAAAAAAAAAGGAATAAAGTATAGTTTACGAAAATATAGTAAGATCAAGAATTTACAAGAAAATTGGCAACATTTTCTGTTTGAAACTGTGGTTCAAGTTTTGTTCAGATATTTGGCATCTGGCAAAGAGGTTTTTTAACGTTTTTTATTATTAAGATGATTTTTTTAAGAGTGTTATGAGAAAATATAATTTAGGCATTAAGCTTTTTAGCAACATATCTATCTAAAACAATCTGTTTTGGCACAAAGATCTACATCTCGGTATTCCAATTACTATGTCCAAGAAAATAAGTTAGATTTGAAAGCATACATTGAACAACATTTTTAAGTTAAGCAAATTAAATACAAATTAGAGAAAAGACTAGTATAATTTGTCTTAGAGTCTTTAATACACATTATTCTTAACATTTGAGTTGAGTTATAATTTTTTAAGTTGAAAGTCTCTCTCTCTCTCTCTCTTTGTGTATGTTTGTGTCACTATTAGGGAATTAATTTTGAGCTGTATTATGTTAGTGAAAATTATTCCCCACGCAAGATTTTTATAGACGTAAAGCTCACCAAAAAAAAGTATTTCTTTATCTATCAATTAAAGGAACACATGAAGTTGCACGCCATAAGAAATTGAAGAAATGTCTAAAAGTTAGTGTATCAGAATTTACAATTGTGAAACTGCTATTTTTGTCGAGATTTTCAACTTATTTCTTCTTCATTTGGCCATATTCAACAGTCAAAGAATTTTGAAATCATAGGTATAAAAGTGCAATCTGGTATTTCATGTATTAACACCACTCCATACAAAATCTTTGTTCAATATTAAATTTGTGAGAGAGCTGAGTACGTAAATTAACATATCGATACCTATGACAGCATTCAGTGTGAACTAAATTACTTTCATCTAAGAAGAATTAGAGACCAG